AGTGGCAAAAAAAGGAAAAAAAAAAAAAAAAAAAAAAAAAACAGCAACAAAATTTTTTTCACGCAGCCATTAGGAATTCAATTTCTATTTCCATTCAACTTTCTGTTTTCCTTTTACAATTAAAATTTCTTTCCAATTTTATTTGGGTTTTGTTTCCTTCTTTTATTCTATTATCTCCTCCTTATTTAAACAATCCTTTGTCATTGTTTGCAGGTACAACAACTTCGTTTCTGAGCATACAGTGAATGACTGGTACCCGTTCTTCAACTAGCCAACTAGTTGAATTGGAACCTGAGATTGAACAAAAACGTCAAGCAATTCGTAGGAAACAAAAACAAGACAGAGAAAAGAAGAATCAACAAGAAGAAGAAGAGATGGCCCTTGTACTGAATGAAACAATGGGAGACCTTGATATCCCAACAATTCCGACATCACCTTCAAGCATCGTTCTCCTTGCAGCTGCCAGGAATTATGAATTGAAAAATATTCACTTTAATATGATGCCTTCTTTTCATGGTTCTGGTTCTGAAGATCCTTTAGCTCATATTAGAGATATTTTTAACATGGTTTCTAACATGGCTTTGACAGAGGGAGTCACTGAAGAACATCTCAGGATGAAAGTCTTTCCCTACACATTGAAAGATAAAGCAAAGATGTGGCTAAACTCCCTACGGCCTGGATTATTGACTAGCTAGACAGAGGTACAAAACAAGTTCTTGGAGAAGTTCTTTTCGACTCAGAAAACTGATGCACTAAGGGATAAAATCATGCAATTCAGTAAACAGGCCGATGAGTCATTTTCAGAAGCGTGGGAACGTTTCAATAATTTTTTAATACAGTGTCCTCACCATGGTTTGCCTACTTTAGTTCTCATGCGTATTTTTTATAAGGCACTACGCGTTTCGAGTAAGGCTGCAGTGAATAACTATGCAGGTGGATCTATTAAGAACAAGACGCCAACTGAATGTCAAACCTTGTTTGATACGCTAGCAATCGAAACACAGCATTCTGATACAAGAGGTAAGCGTGCCGGAATTTATGAAATTGGTAGTTCTAATGCTTTTGCTTCTAAAGAGCAGGTTGACGCTATAACTAGTAAATTGGACGCCTTGCTTGCTATGAATGGGAGAGCACCAACACAAGAGATTTGCTCCATTTGTGCTGTTCCCGGTCATGCCACCATATCGTGTCCTCATGGAGTTGATTTTCCAGAATTTTTGCAAGAACAAGCCAACATGGTGAATACCTATAGACGTCCCGGCAATGATCCATTCTCCAACACATACAATCCGGGATGGCAAAGGCACCCCAATTTTTCATGGAGCAATAATCAGAACGTACAAAAACCACCAGGTTTTCAACCACAAGAGAAGAAAAATAACTTGGAAGACATAATCGCACAACTCGCCACAAATACAAATCAATTCATGAGCAAGACTGAGACGACCCTACAAAATCAAGCCGCTTCCATTAGAAATTTAGAAGTTCAAATGGGTCAATTGGCGAGTGCACTCACGGTACGAGAAAGAGGAGTTTTGCCCAGCCAATCTGAGGTTAATCCGAAAAATCAAGAGCATGCGAAGGCAAATACACTTCGAAATGGGAGACCCATCAAAACCGCTATAGATTTGGACATAGAAAAACACCACCAGCAGTTGAGAGATACGGGAAAAGCTGAAGAAAATGCCCGAAGCTCCACCGAAAATTCAGCAACAACGACAATAAATTTGGAAGAGAAGACCAATGAGCAAGCATCCACAAATCTCACCCCAAAATCCTATGTTCCATCGATTCCTTTCCCACAACGCCTGAAGAAAAATAAGAAGGATGCACAATTCTCCAAATTTCTTGAAATTTTTAAGAAATTGCAAATTACCATTCCATTTGGTGAAGCACTGGACCAAATGCTGAACTATGGAAAGTTCCTCAAGGACATCTTAAGCAAAAAGAGGCGTTTGGAAGACACAGAGACGGTGAAGTTGACGGAGGAGTGCAGTGCAGCAATACAAAGGCAATTACCACCTAAGCGAAAGGATCCAGGGAGTTTTTCTATTCCTTGCACCATTGGCACTATTTCTTTTCAAAGAGCTTTATGTGATCTAGGTTCTAGTATAAAATTAATGCCTTTATCTATTGCTAAAAGAATTGGTTTGGGAGAAATTAAGAAAAATACTATTTCTTTGCAGATGGCGAATAGATCCCTTACATATCCTCACGGAATTCTTGAAGATGTACTAGTGAAGGTGGATAAATTCATACTTCCAGCTGACTTCATTATCTTGGATATGGAAGAAGATGTCAACATTCCAATTATTTTAGGCCGCCCATTCCTCATTACCGGAAGAACATTAATTGACGTAGAAAAAGGTTCTTTGATCCTACTAGTAGCTGATCAAGAGGTGGAAGTCAAGGTTTTTGATGCAGCCAAATACCCCATTGATTCAGAGTATTGTTTCCAATTAGAGGTTATAGATCATGTTGTTCGACGACAATTCAAAGTGGAGTACCCGAAAGATCCATTAGAAGCAAGTTTGGTCCATGAGATAGAGATTGTAAACGAGGAGCCACGCATGCTTGAAATGGTGAACTTGCTGGAAGCTACACCGTCGTACAAACCACCCTTCCACCGAGAATTTGAGCCACTTGGTGCCGCCGCCACCAAGCCCGTCCCAAGCACCGTTGTCGCACCAACCCTCACTTTAAAGCCACTACCCTCGCATTTAAAGTATGCCTATCTTGGTACAGCTCAAACTCTCCCCGTCATTATTAACTCTGAGTTACTTGAAAAGGAGGAAGAAAAATTACTTCAAGTTCTAAAAAAGCATAAAACAGCTATTGGGTGGACCATTGCGGATATTAAAGGGATTAGTCCTTCTACATGCATGCATAGAATTGTATTGGGGGAAAATTTCAAGCCAACAATAGAAAATCAAAGATGGCTAAATCCAAATATGAAGGAAGTTGTTCGTGCTGAAGTTCTCAAGCTTCTCGATGCTGGAATTATTTATCCAATTTCGAATAGTAATTGGGTAAGCCCAGTCCAAGTAGTGCCAAAAAAGGGAGGAATCACGGTAGTAAAGAATGACAACAACGAGCTCATTCCTACAAGGACCGTGACCGGTTGGCGTGTATGTATTGATTATAGGAAGCTCAACACCGCAACTCGTAAGGATCACTTCCCTTTGCCGTTTATTGATCAAATGTTGGAGAGGTTAGCTGGCCATGCCTATTATTGTTTTCTAGATGGCTATTCGGGATATAATCAAATCCCAATAGCGCCCGAAGACCAAGAAAAGACTACCTTCACTTGCCCCTTTGGTACCTTTTCCTATAGAAGCATGCCATTCGGTTTGTGCAACGCCCCTGCTACTTTTCAACGTTGCATGATGAGTATATTCTTTGATATGGTGGAGCGCTTTATTGAAGTATTCATGGACGATTTCTCTGTTTTTGGGTCATCATTCGATTCTTGTCTCTCAAATTTAGCCTTGGTTCTACAACGCTGCGAAGAAACTAATTTGGTTTTGAATTGGGAAAAATGCCATTTTATGGTAAGAGAAGGAATAGTCCTGGGGCACAAGATTTCAGCCAAAGGGATTGAGGTTGACAAAGCCAAGATAGATACTATTGCCAATTTGCCACCACCTACCTCCGTGAAGGGAGTCCGAAGCTTCCTTGGTCATGCCGGGTTCTATCGTCGTTTCATTAAGGATTTTTCAAAGATTACGAAGCCATTATGCAATCTCCTTCTCAAGGATGTCACATTCCACTTTGATGATCAATGCTTGGAGGCTTTCAAGATTCTAAAGGAGAAACTTACATCCGCTCCAGTCATTATCGCACCAACTTGGGAAGTACCGTTCGAAATTATGTGCGACGCGAGTGACTATGCTGTAGGGGCTGTTTTAGGCCAAAGGAAAGACAAATTGCTTCATGTGATTTCCTACGCTAGCCGAACTCTCAAAGATGCCCAATTGAATTATGCCACAACCGAGAAAGAGCTACTAGCCGTTGTCTTTGCCTTAGACAAGTTTCGTTCCTATCTCATTGGTTCTAAGGTAATTGTTTACACCGATCATTCCGCTTTGAAGTATTTATTATCAAAAAAAGATGCAAAACCACGGTTGCTTCGATGGGTATTGTTATTACAACAGTTTGATTTGGAAATACAAGACAAAAAGGGGTCTGAAAACGTCGTGGATGATCATTTATCTCGGCTGATCCAAGATAGAGACAAGGAAAAACTAGCTGCTGCCATACCTATAGCTGAGACATTTCCCGACGAACAACTCTTCAGCATCCAATCTTCCATTGCCCCTTGGTATGCCGACTATGTCAACTATTTGGCTAGTAATGTCCTTCCACCCGACATGACTTTTCAACAAAAGAAAAGGTTCTTCTCACTAGTAAAGTATTATTATTGGGATGATCCTTATTTATGGAAGCATTGCCCCGATCAAGTTATCCGAAGATGCGTGAATGAGTCCGAGATGGTTGGTATTCTTCATCATTGTCATTCACTAGCATGTGGAGGTCATTTCGGAGCCACCAAAACAGCGGCTAAGGTACTCCAATCGGGATTCTTTTGGCCAACTTTATTCAAGGATGCTCATACATTTGTCCAAGCTTGTGATCGTTGTCAAAGAACCGGGAATATTTCTAGTCGAGATCAAATGCCGTTGTCCAACATTTTGGAGGTTGAAATATTCGACGTTTGGGGAATTGACTTCATGGGACCTTTCCCACCATCTTACAACAATCTCTACATTTTGGTAGCCGTTGATTATGTCTCTAAGTGGGTTGAAGCCGTGGCCTTGCCTACCAATGATGCCAAGAGTGTGCTCGGATTCTTAAGAAAGAACATCTTTACTCGTTTTGGTACTCCGCGTGCCATAATTAGTGATGGAGGTACGCATTTTCGTAACCGTTCTTTTAATTCTCTTCTTGCTAAATATGGTATTACACATAAGGTTGCCACTCCTTATCATCCCAAAACTAGTGGGCAAGTAGAGGTTTCGAATAGGGAATTAAAACACATCTTAGAAAAGACGGTTAGTGCCTCTAGGAAAGATTGGTCCTTGAAATTGGATGATGCACTATGGGCCTATCGAACGGCATACAAAACACCCATAGGTATGTCCCCTTTTCGACTTATCTTTGGGAAAGCTTGTCACTTACCCGTGGAACTTGAGCATAAAGCTTATTGGGCTGTCAAGACACTTAATTTCGACATGCAAGCCGCCGGTGAAAAGAGAACCGTGCAATTGAATGAGATGGATGAGTTCCGGAATGATGCATATGAGAATGCAAAGATTTATAAAGAACGTACTAAGAAATGGCACGACAAACATATTATTCGGAAAGATTTTTATGTGGGCCAAAAAGTTCTTCTCTACAACTCTCGTCTTCGACTCTTTCCCGGAAAACTCAAGTCTCGATGGTCTGGACCTTGCACGGTATTGCAAATATTTCCGTATGGTACTATTCAAATTCAACATGATGCTCTCGGCACTATCTTCAAGGTGAATGGACAACGTTTGAAGCCATACTTGGAAGCAAATTTTGATCACCAAAAGGAGACCCTTGCTCTCCATGAACCCAAGTGATCATCTTCAAAAAGTCGGGCTAGCGACTATAAACCAAGCGCTTGTTGGGAGACAACCCAACTAGGTACCTTCGTTCCTTTCTTTTCAATTTATTTTCCATCCTTCTATGCCTTTACTAATTGTTACATGCATTTACTTTAAACATTGAGGACAATGCTTAGTTTAGGTTTGGGGGTGTGGAATTTTGTTATTTTGTTATTTTTGTTGTTATTAGAGTTTTGAGTCATAAAGAAAATAAAGAAAAGAAAAAAAACAGATTTTATGTTCCAAAGAAAGGATTTTTGTGTTTCAAAGAACTTTTTTTCGATTTTTTCTAGCCCCAAGATGATTGGACCATGTTCCAGATGTGTTATAGATGTAGTTTTGGTCATTAGATGACTTTAAAACCCAGAAAATAGCAAAAGAGGGTATTATGTTCTTATTTTGGTCAAAATCAATATTTTTGCCTCTTTTCTTTTTTGTTGTTTTTCATGTAAATTTGAAGCCACCAACATGTTTAGAATGGTTATTATGATGATTTGAAACAGGTTTGGGGGTCTCAAGTTGTTTACATGACGTTTTAGGAGGATTTGAAGCTAAAAAAGTGGCCTAAAACCCAAAAAAGGCTAGCTGCAAATTGCCCAGAAATATGAAGATTTTTTGTCACAAAAGGGTTTTAGCGACGACTGTGCATCAGATTTTTCGTTGCTAAAGGTTTTCAGCGACAGTGTTCATCAAATTTTTCGTCACTAAAGTTCAATTTTCCAGAATTTTCTGATTTCATTCCAAATCAATTCCGATCTATTACATTCGCGATCAAAGATTTCTAGGAGCTATTCCAGGTGTGTCCTCTTCCTTTTGATGAAATTTCTTTGTTCATAAGCGATTAGAACTCATAAATTCATGCATATTTGTTTACAAAATCACAAAATTCCTTTAACTTTTTAAAAAATAAAAATTTGTTAAAGTTTTTACTTTCTCTTACTAATAGTGATGTATATGTAATGTTTAATTATATTTCTTTAACTAAAGTGTTGCCATGAAATTTTATGCATCATAATTATAGCACTTCACATAGCCATGCTTCAAGTATTTTGATGGACAAGGTAGCTATACTTGGATGATTGTGGAGAAATAGTGGAGACTACCATTGTGAAATACTTGAGCCAAATTGCCATTTATTGAGAGAGTATTTGAGATTATTCTTATTAGCTATTTTCATTCCTTCTTATTATTAGATTGATCTCATTAAGCTTTTAAATTGAATACTAAAAACTAATCTCTATTTTGTATGAGTCATCTTATGCTTTTACTTTTGAGTTGGATGGACCTTGAGAGATGATGTTAGGCTATGCATGTTTTAACCATTAAATAAAACCTCATGTCCTACCCTTTGTGTGTGCCATCAACCCTTTGAAGCCAAACACTAAGCCTTTTCTTTCATCACCCACAATTTTTTATTACCCCTTCTCACCCTATTTTTAGCCATACCCTATAACTTGAGAGATGCCATGGCACATGAAGACAAAGATGAAGGTTGAGCTCTACATCAATAAAAGAGGTGCGTGTACCTAGGAAATATGTGCTCAAAGTTCAAGAAAAAGAAAAAGGAAATAGAAGAAAAAAATAAAGAAGATATATATTCAAAAAGAAGAAAAAAAGAAAAAGAAAGAGAAAAAAAATAAAATAATAAAGCATATCAAAAATCCTGGACGCCTTTGTGAAGTAAATTTGAAGAGCCAAGCCTTATAACACGATAAATGCCTTGGTATGTCTCAAGTTCTAGTTTTCCTATCCTTTCTTTCATAACCCATAACCTAGCCCTTCATTACAACCATAGTAAAGACCTAATGGATCTTTGGGGACTTCTTACTCAAAAGTGGAGGTATGTACTTCATCTATGGTTCTTAGTATTTGATTTCCTTTCCATGAGATCTATTTTTAGAAATTTCCTTTTATTCATTTGGATGCATATGTGTCTTATATTTTGATTTCTTCACCTAACTTCATTCACATATGCGGGGTAAGAGTGCAACCCTAGGTTCTGTGAGAAAATTGAGTGTTATCCAGTGAGGCATAGAGTCGAGGCGAATTTGTACACACGCCGAGTGTGGTTATCTTTAAGTTCGAATGCTTGAAGTATTGGCTTTACACTTTACACTATGGTGCATTTTATTTGTAGTGGCATAACTTTAGTTTTTGAATTGTGATTGACATTCATTGGTTATTATTAGTTTGTTGGAAGTATTGTTTTAACGAATTTGTTTTGCAAGGAGCGTTTGTGGGTGTCGTGACTGGTAAACCCTCAGGAGACACAACTCCTCCTATACTAGGGACACCTAGAGGTTTAAAGGCTTGTGGCACATGCTAAATGCCATCGAGATTACCTGCGAAAGTGGTTTAGTTTAGTTTGTTTGTTTTATTTTATTTTTTATTTTTAGTTTTGCTCGAGGACTAGCAAAAGATAGGTTTGGGGGTATTTGATAAGCCCATATTTTATATATATTTTATGCCTCCTTTACTTATCTATTTGTTAATTTCCTTGGATTAAATTGGTTGTTTTAATTAGTTTTGTGAGATTTGTGAAGGAATTGTGAAATTTGAGAAATTGAGGTAAAAAGGGGCAAGAAGATGAAGATTGGAGATTAATCAAGTCAAGAAGCCAAGTCATTCCTTTTGTCACAAGGAATGTTGTCAAATTTCCTAATTCAAGATGTTTCAAGTCTTATCAAGTCAAGCAAGGAGAAATAAAAAAGACCCTATTTTGGAAGGAATCCTACTTTTATAATAATTGTAATTATACCTTAGATAGGTAGGATTTGTAGGAGTATTATAAATAGGGAGTTTAGGTCATTGTTCAA